TACCATCGTTATAAAGCCAGTAAAGTTAGATATCAAACTTCAATATAATAAATAATAAAGGTATCCCTGGTATTTTTAGCATTTAAAACATTACAATACAAAAATATATTGTCTTAATTCAAGATTATAAATTTTCATAATAATTTAATTCAAGCCCAAAGTTAAACAATATTTGATGGAAATCTTAATATTTAATCTTTATAAAATAAAATCACAATATAAACAATTCTTAAAATATTTAAAATAACTAATTAAGTACTTCATAAATCAAGAACTAGGTTTAGGTTTAGTTTATTACGGCAAAGGACACTAGGGTTATCTGCCTAATCAAGAACTAACCAAATCTATAATAAACATAAAAAGTTTACTAAGTAGTATTGTAGTCCGATTTAAAAACAGTACTCTGATTACAAATTAAATATTCTGTTAAATCCTTGACTTCCTGTCTACCAAAATTTGTATGTATTAAATAATTTGGATGTTGAAAGCATGTAGATGTATAAAGAAGTAGCAGCAGTCACGGCCGATCTAATATTTCTTTATTTTCGTTTGCGTTAAACCATTGGGAAAATCACGGTAGCTTGATGTAGCCCTTTTACAGCTAAACCACCTAAAATTATACTGAATCAGCAACTAAGCTCAGGACAAATCACTAGCTTTTAATTTTAGCTACTCGGCAACTGATAGGCTGACTAATTACGAGAAGAACTCAAAATGTTGTCCAGCCACATAAGGACGCACAAAATGTTGTCTAGCCAAGGATCCTGTGGGTTGATGGTAGAGGGAGTTGATGGCAGGGAAAGAGAAGGGTAGAGCCCTGGATCCCTTTTCCCGAGATGTTTTTTTTATCAGAATTGGATCTTTTTTCTTCTCGGAGGTGTAAAAGAAAACCTTGCAGCGCATGGCGGTAACGTTCTCGGTGATGAGTCGGTCAAATGACAGTTGAGTTCGGCTATCCAAGATGAATACTTAGCTAGCTATTGGACGTGTGTGGCCATTAGAAAAAAAAAAAGTATTCACAATAACGATAAAACTCAATTTTACATTTAAATATTAAAAGCCTTAGGTATATGTCAAACAAATGTAAAGAAACGCATGAGATTAATGTAATAACAGATTAATTGCTAGTTATACTCCCCCCCCCCCAAAATCAAAAACTGCACAACATCATGAGAACACCCCCCCCCCCACAAAAAAAAAAAAAAAAAAAAAAAAGAAGAGTCCAGGTACACTAGTAAAGTAAAATTATTTTACTTAAGTAAGCTTTATGAACATAATAAAATGACCTCCTATTTTTCGCTTATCGTCCAGCAATTTTTGCGGGAAACGCCAGCGGCCTATTTTAGAAAGAAAATTTAATACACATTCAGAATATTAAAATTTCAAAATTCCCTAGCATATTGAATTCGAAAACAGAGCAAATTCACCGTGCTTAGTATTTCAAGGGAAATTTAAATATAAGCCACTTTTTCTGTTCCATTCACTGTAAATAATATATGTACACCTGCCAGTATCTTAACGCTAAACCGACAAAAACACCAACTTTTATTTTTAATACTGATATGATAGGCAGCTTCTTCCCTTTTTAGCAAAAATCTAAAAACTGTAAAATTAGGCAAAAGCCAACCTCAGTCGAAACCAGAGCTAAAGGACAGAGTTTTACAAAAGAAGACATAGTCGTTGATAAAGGGCGAGGGGAAATTATATGTTTTCATTGTGCATTTTTAAATTCAGCATCCAAAAAATATTAAAAAAGCTTAAATATTAAGATAACATTTCCATATCAGGCCTTTATTAAATTGTTAAATGAAAGGCTATCTCGCGTTTCATAGAAATTCTTTGATAAAGAAAAAATTATCTCACAATCTAGACTAAGCTTTCGGCAAAAGTTTAAATCGGTGTCAGTAGAGTCACTGTGCAACTGATAAAAAGGCGGTAAATACAAAAGAAGACATGACTTAAAAGATTCATTTTTTGTTTCTCTCCAAAGCTGGTGACTGATTTGTCTCGGTTGATTGGATTCCGATGTAGTTGAAGCGTAGCAATGTCTGTTCTTAGTTATCAGATACGTTGCCTTTTAAGTTCGGTGACTTTAAGATTTTCTGAGATGTGCGATGATTACCATAAAGAATGACAAGCAAAAGACAAAAAAATATTATAGAAATTTTTTTTCACGTTTGTTTCTATTGTATTTAAAAAATTATAAAATATTAGCATGCAGGAATTCAAAGAACGAAATAGCTGAAGTTAAGGAAGTCGGATATTTCGTACGAATAAATGCTGAAAATTTAATTTATAATTTTTGCTCTGTATGCATAATTAAGTGCAGTACTTCCTTCGATGCGCTTTGTTTGACGATAATGTTAAATTTTAAATTATTTCTACTGTTACTAAAAAACAGAGCAAGCTATTTTGTATGATAGCTAAAGAGACAGTAAATTTCGATTTAATCTATGCCGTTCTCATTTTAAAGATTGTGTTTCTAATTTTTAAATAAGCACTGAAGTTTAATTTTACGCAATAAAAAAGTGGAGAGAAACTATTCCACAATAAACATTGCTTTTCCTGCCCTCAAATTGTTGATTGTTTGAAAGGGAAGGAAAATTATCAGTTTTTCCTATGAATTTCGTACTTCTTTTGTAAGATTTATTTTATTTAGCACTTTATTTTCATGTTAACTGTTTCTTATATCTTCTGCTTCTTCCGCCACCTTTCTGCAGAATACAAATTAGATTGAATTAAATATCGAGAAAATGTGTCGTTTAGAGAGAATACCGTGGCAACCGCAAAGTATACAGCTTGTCCACAAAAAATCCTTACCCGGCCTTTATTTCCGCAACCGTTGGTAATAGATACATACTTTCAGTTCTAAAAATGTTTTAAAGGACGCAAATATTCGTGTTTTGTCATTTTTAAATAAAAAATCAATTTAAAAAAAAAACTCTCCTGTACTTACACTTACGTTCAAGAAAATATAGTACTTGTTATAAAAATAAAACAGAAAAAGTTTGACTCTTTCACGATAAAAGTTGACTGAGATATTTAATTTTAAAATTTGCGATTTCTTAAGTCGCTTTCAACTTGCTTTGCGGAGTCCGTTAATAGGTAACTAAGTAAAGTTGAATTTTTTGCGTCCTAAATGCCATTCAATGATATATTTTTCTGATTTACTAGTGGTTTAAATTTATAATTTTGTTACATTTGATATTACGAATGAATTTTCTACATTATTAATGTTCTCATGGAATTTTATTACTTTAGAGTCATAATCTGGTAACTGTAAATAATTCATTAAAGTATTAATAGTTTTCATTTTTAATTAATACAAATAATTATATGAGTTGGCTACGTGCTTACATTGAAGCCTGCCAGTGTTTTCTAGAAAACGAATTCTTTAAGAGTTCGTGAATAAGATTTCCGTTTAGGAACAAACAAACAAACAAAAAAAAAAAAAAAAAAAAAAAAAAACTATATTTTTTACAAAAATGTGCATTTTTTCTTTCATGAAAATAGTTAAAATGCAATGATTTTTCATAAATACTCTCATAAATAATTTACATTTTATAACTAACAAATATACCAAAATACTTTCATGGGAGCTAAAGCATCATTTGTAAAATCTTTCGATCAGAATAACGGAATTTCCAAGCATCTAGAAAATGAATTTCATACGAATTTAACTCGAAATGATGTAGAACTGTTACAGTGTTAATAAAGAAGAATGAACTGCCGTTTCAAGTATAAAAGCATGTATTTAAACAACTGACACAATTTTAAATAAAAAAATGGCCGTGAGCTTTCAACAAGTCCTACTCTTTCATTTTTAATTATTTCCTTTCATCAAATTAGAGGCAATTTAAAATTCTATTTACCAGGCAAAGCTTTTTTCTCTATTTCGGATAGACCCACCAGCGGCCGAGCGGTAAAGTCGCTGAACACTGGTAGTTCGGTCCGAGGTTCGAATCCCGCGAGCGGGCTGGCTGCACGGGCGTTTTCGTGGTTTTCCCCATGTGTAACGTGTATACGACTCGGTTCCCCTTAGAAAGTCCTCCGCGAAGGCATTCCTTGCCCTAGGCAGATAGCCCTCGAAGCTTTGCCATAATCACACGCACACACTCTGTTTCAGATAACAGAAGATTTTATTTTTCCTAATGAGATTAATAATTTTTAAAACTTTTTCTAGTTCATTGTATCAAATAAGGGAATTCTTTCAAACTTTGACATGTCCTTTATTAATTTAATTTTATCTATTTCGTAATTCACAAATTCAGTGATAATTAATAAGAAATTCATATTTTAAACTAGATTCTTGTTTGTGGCCTATGCATAGAAATTTACAAGATATCTTTTGAGAGATTAATGTGAGCGATCGAATACGGATAAGTGCAACATCGATCAAGTAAACTATCAAACTTAATCAAAAAACCTAAATATTTTAATCTAAAGTATTGAATCGAATTAAAATATAGGGTGTCACCAAAATTCCTGAATAATTTTAACAGCTTGTTGTTTGGGAATGGAACAATTTATAAACATCGGTACTGATCACACTTTCACAATCAAAGTTCAAAGATTTTGTGACAGGTGCACAAGTTAAGCAATCTGAGAATGCGCACCGCTGATTTCTTTGGTTGATGGTCCTCCAACTGTGGGCCAATATAATTAATCAAAGTATGTAAATCAGTCGTTTGCTTATGAAAGAAAAAAGTGGCCCTAAAATCTAGTCATGCAGCATATCACGCCAAACATTCATTTTTAGGTTGTCCCACCTAAATTCCCTTGTGACATGAGGATTTTCGTATCTCCAAAAGCTTCCATTATGTTTATATTAAAATAAGACAAACTGTTTGGGAAACATTGATATACGCGTAATAGCATGACAAAAATTTCATAGCTACCTCTTCCAAAGTGTCCACAATAATAGGATAAAGTTGTTTAGAGATTTTACTTAATTACTATGTGGAATCAAGAAATTTAAGGCTAAGAATAAAAGTTCTTACCTGGAAGCTGTTGGTGGGAGATTAAGAGCACAGAAGAGAAGATCTGCAGTGCAAAGGCTGATGACAAAGGCTGTGGTGGCATTGCGGAGTTTGGCGCATCTGCTTAGGGCAAGTATAGTCACCAGATTGCCCAAAATGCCGAAGATTATAAACAGAATGCAACAGACTGCAGCAAAAAGCGTCGTTGCTCTGGGGTACTGTATGGGAAGCATAGACTGTGAACTAGTAGCATTTCCAGATAATAGAGCTCCACTACTTTCTACCGACTGATTGGAAGCTACTAAGTATCTCACGTCATCCATTTTCGACGGAAGTCCAAACTGTTCAAGAGAATTAAAAAAATATAAAATTACTTTCAGTTCAATGCATTTCCATTAATAAACAGTAATAATTATAAATAGGCACAGGGCCATAAGATTATACCAAATCACTGCTATTATAACAGTAGTAGATTAATTCTAAACAGTTCATTACTGCAACTTTTATTAATTTGCATTAATAATAAAACCACGAGGAAACTATAAATGATATAAAGTTACTGCATCTAAAATGAAGTATATATGTTTTTTAAAGATTTTTAACACATAGACATATTTGGCAAGCAAATATTTTGTGTGCAACCTGAACACGATAGCAGACGCCTTTTTCTCTCGTTTGAAAAATGTTGTAAGTTGGTCTTTTATACATAATCACGTGTTCGTATTTCAATAAGTATTTAAAACTTGGTAAGCCTACGGAATTTATAAGGATAACCAGAGTTATCCTGTTACAGGGAGAAATAGTTGAGGTACGATAATGGTTAATTTACACCAAATTATATGACTCGGGGTAATAGCCTCAGCTATAGATTTATTTTAAAGCATACCTGAGTGGAAATATTTTAATTGTTACAAAATGTTTGAAGCTATCTAAATGGTTATATGAATTTGAATTTTAATTATTTAATAATTTTACAAGTTGCAACTTATTTATTTACTATTATTCATTAGCTTCATTTTTTCCACACTGTTAGATTATTCACTTTTTAATTGGAAACCAATATTCTTAGACTCATATTGTAATGTATTTTATGTTGCTTAACCAATTTTTATGATTTAAATCTTTACTATAGCAACTCTCTTCATAATCCCTCACCAGAATGCAAATGAGGTTAAAGAGTAATTAAAGCGAGGATTTTGAATGTTTCAGATATGCAATTTTTTACAGCTCTGCCCTTTAATATTCCAGCTTTAGCCATTTGATAGCCATTAAAATGTGACATTAAAGTTTTAAGTCAGTTTAATTAGGCCAAAGTCTTCGGCTACGATCGTTCTTAAGCTATAAATTTAACTTTATGTTATTTAAATACTCGCAAATCGAGGAGTGTTGAGTATACACACAAGTTATGCTTTCTGTTCAATTTAAGCTTAAACAAAAAGGTTATTTAAACCTTAATAAAACTTTGTAGTATTTACTTAGCAGCGATAGCCCGCATGTCTGTCTAACAAGGTCTAAAGATTTTAAGTTAATACTGTGCAATTAGGAATCTATAATATTACAGATGTGTTAATGATGACGGGAACTGGGTTTCAGTAGTGTTAAAGAGATAAACATAAGATAGTTATATAATTAATGTATCATTGGATAACAGATCTTGCTCTAAGAAGATTATCGTATAATGATGCAGCGATATATTATTAAGGCGAAGCAAGAAATCTTAAGTATTTTATGAATATAAACAAGAAATGCAAGCATAAGTTGCATATTCCATTGAAATTTTTATAGCAATCAAATCCGTTTTAAAATTCAATTTTGTTGGATAAAAATAAAAGGATAATGTTTGAGAATAATAAATTAAATCTTTGTTTTTAAACGCTTCGTAAAATATCCTCATAGTAACAAGCACATTATTTGAAAATAAGCAAAAACGCTACATAAAAGTACTTGGCTAAGTTTGTTTTAATGACATTTTTAGTTTTGTTTATTTAAATGAATACAGCTGGTGAAACTCATGTGCATTAGCATGAAAACAAATGTACGAACGAAAAAAGTTCACGTATCACGCAGCAATGCGCAAAAAGGTGTGATGTTTTTAAGGCAAGTAAGATATGAAGGCCATGTAAAGAATCCAGTAATGAATGCTAATAAAGAATCAAGTAATACAGAATGCTTAGAAAGTTTTGTGTTGAAATAAATTCTACAATTTGTAAAGCCAAAAGATATAAAAATAAAGCTAATGCAGATATTCCCCAAGTAGAATTTATTTTTTAATGGAATTTGGAAGTAACATTAAAAAGTAATTTAAAGTGATCTAGGAACATTTTTTTAATGTGCTTTATTTCGAAGTTGAAAAAGCCTCTTAATATAGAAAGTCACTGAAAGCTTTGAGAATAGTAATTCGGGGTATGTAAAAGGAACAGGGAGAGAATCGAAAAAAATTGGGAGGGTAAAAATAACCGCTAAGAGAAAGGGGGATGAATTAGAATGAAAAATAAAAATAAAAAAAAAAAGTCTCAAAGTTTGATTATTCTCTCAGACCTGTTGTAGAAACTATTAGGTTTTTCGGTGCAAGAAACGTGAAAAATTGACTATGCTGTCGCTGGGGTTCGAGCTATGGCTGTTCCAAGAACCAGTTGAATGCACTAAAAACTTACACCAAAAGAGTAGGCATGAATGAATTCGTTATTTTAAGGAAATTTTTTACCAGGCAAATTTTTCCCTAAAAAAAGATCGTGATTAAAAATAGTGTCAGAATTTAATGTTTAGCTTTAAAGAAGAATATGAAATAATTTACGAATTTTAAAAACTGAATTATTTCTATTCCACTTTCCTTCAAATTAGAAAAATATAAAACTTTGTTCAAGTAGTGTATCTCTTTAATTATTTTCAGTTTCCTCTCTGAAAATCATTAACTGAAGAAAATTACTTCCAGGATAATTTTCTCTATTAAAAAATGATTAAGTAATTATTATTATTATTACTTTTTAGTTTTTAAACATTTCCCCATATTTTTACATTAATATAGGAAAAGGAGGCTATTCTTATTACTTTCTATATTTCAAACGCTTTTCCATATTTTTATAAGTAGTAGCGCAAAATGAGGTATTCAAAGGAACTAATTTCATGGTCTTGAGTATACACTCAATTAATACCTTCTGTCTCACTTTTATGTATTCTCCAGAATGATTAAGACTAACGAAATAGAATGTTTCGAGTTGTATAAGTATTTCAAACAGCTATTTTTTTTTCTCTGTTCTTTTATATAAAATATCAAATTTCATTGCCAGAAAAATTCCATATTTTAAGGAAATAGTTCGATATTTTAATATTATAGTTATATAATAATTTACATGCAAACAGAATATCATAAATTTCAAAAGATATAAAAAGAATTAAGATTTGGTATTATTTTTTTAGTATCAAATCATAATTCTTTTTGCAGATAAAAATCCCAAGCAATTAAACAACAAACTCTGAAGATACATTTGACATAAAAATTGAATAACTCTTGGGTATAGGTTACAGATATTTTCAGTTATAGGAAAGCATTTCTAAACCTCTCCAATCGTAAGTTATTAAAACGTGTATTACATTATAGATTTTCAAGCCAGAAAATACGAAGAAACAAAAAGATTTAGACACTTATTACGTAAAAATAGTTCAAAGTTCTAGTGATTCATAGTATTCAACAAAAATGATTTAAAATATATGAGAAGAAGAATAAAAATAATTTACCTTCAGGAAATTAACAATATAAGTAAATTCTTAGCAAACCGAGAATAAGTAAATAAATTCTGAGTGCAGTTTAAGCAAGAAAATTTCTGACTGATACTTCTGGTAAAGCCAGACCAAGATAGACAGAAACATTGATCGCTCTCACAAGCATATTTTAGAGTGGACTGTAAATTCCGAACCCTGTAAAGCAAAAAGGGTAGAATTTTTTCTATCAAACTCATCCCACAGACGTTATGAATAAGCAACCACTAATACCAAAACTCCTATATATAAATAAAAACTCTAGACAAATTAGTATGCCCAAATTGCGTAGGAGGTTTGGTCTACCGCATCATTTCATTGATCGTGACAATCTCTATCGTAAAGGCATCATTAGAAAAGGAAAAAAAAAAAAATATTTTGGAGAAAATATGCGAATAAAGAACACACGTAATTAATGCACACTTGTGGACTCTCGCCCCTCCTCTTTCTTTTTTTTTTTTAAAAAAAAGCTCGGAGAGGTCAAGCTACCGAAAGATTTTCTAGTCTTATTCATTTATTATCATTTCACTGGATGAATGAAGGGGTATTCATGATACATTCTCAGCGGGATATCCTTTTCAACGCCTGGAACCGCAATTGGGTATGCGTGCCGAGTAAATCGTGTTGCAATAGGAAAGCAGTCTTCGTTATGTCTTAGAACAGAAGAGAGCAATCCTTGGGTCGCGACCCTGTTAGAGACATGAGCATTTACCAAAAGGTCGTTGAAGCGGTCTACTTTACTCTTATTTCATCATATTCTATTATTAGATGAAGCTATGGAATTTTTAATTGTTAAATGTAATTAACTAATAATAAAGAACTGCTTTTTTAAAATATATGTTTAATTAATTCTTTCTTTTATTAATATTGTGGCTTGTGGTCTTCAAATCAAAATAAATTTTCAGCTCGGCCACATTCGTACACAACTTGAGCGAAACTTACCACAAACAGCTGCTTAATACCCAACAAAAAAAGATGATGAAGAGTGGCATTAGAGTAGGCGCCGCTTAATATAATAGCGTTAATGGTATCACTCGGATTCAGTTATCGATTAGCCAAATTTTGCGGATGTGTTGATAGTCATGAACACTCTATTGCAAGATTTTCGTGGGAAAAAAAGGGCAATAAGTAAAAATTAGTCAAAATAAACTACATTTAACTCGAAGGCAAAAGTTTTAAAGGGACAAGGAATACATTCATTTTACCCACGCCCATTCTGTATAGCTATCATAGTCCCATCTCATAGATTACAAAGCAAGAATATATTGCATTAATTATTATAATATACACAGCAGTAACTGAATTAAATCATTCTGTCGCTGGAATTGTTCTATCATATAAAATATTTCTATTTTACATTACGACTCAAAGTTAATGACTTACTATTCGCTACTGAATATTAGACAAAACTAATTTTGCATAGCTTGATCGCGTAATAACAAACTCAAGTAAATCGGGGAAAGCGTTCATTACGAATGGAAATAATTTGCTACAGCTGCAAGACATATCCCTTAGACATGTGAACGAACCACACGGATTCAATAGAGGACATCAAAATTTACAGTAGACGCTACTTAACGTAATCACGTTTTTCCACGGCTATTTTGGCAACAATACCGAATAATAACATTATATGATGAGGCAAAATATACGTAAATCAGCAAGGATATTTAATTAATTTAATATAAAAAATTACGAAGCATATAAATAAGTATTTTTATAGCAGTTTAACTAGGAAAATGCCAAAGTTTGTTTACGAACTGTTCATGATGCTTCGAAAAACCCACTTAAGAACTATTTGTCATATTTCTGGAAATTATTTGATCAATGCTGTACCCCTAATCTTAATAGTCGGAATGCATCCGTCATTGGAAGAGAGCATGCTAATGTAAAATTTTAAACTAAGCAAAAAAGACAAATTTAGTTTGGCATAGATGCTTTTATGAATTTTATTCTTCTTTTCTTTTTCCAAAAGAAAAAATTCTGCAATTTTTTTCTTCTGAAGAAGAAACTTGATCACCCTTAAAATCGATAGAACTATTTATTCAAAACGGAAGTCAGACTAAGGTAGTCTTTTTTCGCCTAATTTTAAATGGCTGACTGAAACTGAAATCAGGAGCCCACCAGCGGCCGAGCAATAAAGTCGCTGAATACTGTTAGTTCGGTCTGAGATCAAAATCCCGCCAAAGGGCTGTTTGCTTGGTTCGTTTTCCCCAGTGTAACGGAGTACGTGCCGGTTTCCCTCAAAAAATTCTCCACAAAGGCATCCCTCCCCACAAGCAGATAGCCCTTGATTTGTTTTGTCTTAATCAATTATTTCTTAACCGAAATAAAGTTGGCTGGCTTCTCATTTGGCTACATTTCTCTGCCGCTCGGTAAATTTTATAATCTATGTTGACCTTATTTGGCAATTTTAGTTTAAAAAATTTATTCTATAATAGCGTGAACATATTAACAGAATTGTTGATCACAGTAAGCGATTGTTGATCACAATTTTCCATAATTTCACATACAAACGGGGAGGGGGATTTCGGCAGTTCGATAACAACATCCGAATGATAACATTAATCGCGATCACATTAAGGGGCGTCTACTGTATATAAATTAAACAATATAAAAAAGAAAATTAAACAATTGCGTGAAACCATGTTTTTACTCTCCTCTTAGTAATAGATAACTAGATTCCCCCCCCCCCCATGTTATAACGAATAATGCCTTTTCAAGGTCTTCAGCTCAGACAGGTTGCTTGGAGACAACAATGACCTTTAAATAACCCCACAGCTAAAAAATTCGTAGGTGAGAGATATGGTGATAAAGGATATCAAAGTTACTCCCTCTGTGCTCATTTTTATTTTATTTAGAAATTGTCGGCTTTTAAACCGAGTAAATTCCGAGTATATTTGTGTTAGCTATTAACGGCTAGCACTCATCGAAATTATTTCCTGCATAAAATAAATCCATGCTAATGTCAACTCTTGACGGATATAAATGAATAGTTAAGTATCTTTCAAATTTTAATCGTACTTGCTTAATATACACTGAAATTAAAAAACAATAGATGTACTTCTTAATAATTATAGCTTTATTTTCTTTTCCTTAAAAATGTTGTAACTGCAATAATATGCGTAAAATTTAATAATGCATATGATATATATTAGGCTCGGGATTGCGAGTCACATGCTGTCTGCCGCCCATTTTTGGGCGTCCCGCAAGCAATAATAATATTTCTGATTCTTAAATGATTATGACCTTTCCTTTCTTTTGATGCCTATTAAAATGAATTTTGACGCCAAAGTAAATTTGAATTTGCAAAACATTTTGAATTTGTCAACTTGAGCAATATTTTATAATTGCTACTTTTACATAAAATTAAGCAAAAATAACATTGTGTTTGGCACATATTTTAGTCAAGATTCTGTTGATTTCGAGGGCTGATAGGTACAGATCACTCTTCATTAAACCAGTGTTCAATTAGACCGAACTACCGGTGTTCCCCATTAGGGGCGAAAAAATATGCAATGAAGAATACCCGCAGATGTATTTATACCCAAAAGGAGTAAAGCAAACGAGATGGTAGCGCCATCTGTAGGCAGATATCGTAAAGAAAATTAAAAACAATTATTACTGAAAGTTATTAGAATTTCAAAAGCGTTTGGAAGAACTGGGTTGGAAATAAAATCATTAACTAAACAGGATAAATATTTGTGAATGTGAAAAGCTTGAAGAAAATCTAATTCGCCAATGGAAGAAGCTTTTTGGATAAACTTTGAGACTTTATGAGAGTATCCCGGCATAAAGTTGCGCGCCTATTATTATGATGATCAATTTCTAACATGGAAAAAAAAAAAAAAAAAAAAAAAAAAAAAAAGTCGAGGCTATTTTATACTGCGGCACTCTTATGCAAGCCCATTTTTGTATGTATTACTGATTAGTTAATTAAACAGGCAATAAATCTTCGCTTGCATATACATCGCTTCACCTGTCCAAAGTAAAGGTAATCTTTTAAGAAAAATGGGGTTTTACATAAAGGTGCTGAATATTTATTTCAGCTTTTGTTTCAATTCATTAATCAATAATGTAGTTAAAAATCGGAATTGCAGAAGAGTGCCCCAGGATAAAGCTGCCCGTGTGGTTGTAAAGGCTGTTTTCTTTTTTTCAAGTTCGAAATTAAACCACGCACCTTTATGCCAGGACGCCTTTATGACGGTTTCTGCTTTCTCATACACAGGCCGACCTGCATCTTTTTGGCAGGGTGCTATTATGAACGCATCCCAGCAAAATGACTGTAGGAGCTTGCAGAATCTTTTGAAATATGATTGTGTATTCATTGTAAAAGTAGTTAATATGAACATTTTTAGTTAATCCTTTTAGGTCCTTCACTCTGTTTTGAACTGCGACGTATAAAAGAGCAGAGAGAAAGAAAAGAAAAAGAAAATTAATGAAATTATATAAACTAAAGAATTATAACAACGAGGCACTAACAAGATGTTTTCTCTCTCCTTTCTACATGCCTTCCTGATGTAACGGTAGCACGCTGAGCGCGTATTCGAAAGGTCCAAGTTCGAGTCCTGGTGAGGGCATTGCATATTTCTTCAGTTTCCTGATATCGAAAAAATTCTAATAATTCTACAGCAGCGCCCGAACTAAAAGGTAGTGGATGATGATTTTTCACCACCAGGATTTGGCGATTGGGTTCCTAATCCCCATTCGCCCTTTAAAAAAGGGAGTATATAAGGTTATTTTCTCCCTCCTTTCTGTATGTTTTCGTGGTGTAACGGTAGCAGACTCGGTGCGTATTCCAGAGGTCCAGGTTCGAGTCCCAGCGAGGGCCTTTTTTCATGTCTCCTGTTTCAAAATAATCTAATGCCTCTACAGCACGGACTGTAGATTTAGACTTCTCATAAACTTCTCAATGTGAAATATTTTTTAAATTCATATTTTCATGGATAAATTGCAAAGGTTAATCATGATAAAAAGTTTTGAACAGAAACTATTTTTAAATATTTCAAAAATAATGGCAAAATATTTACCTTTTGCTTTAAATTTTAGTCATTCTTAAAATCACGTGTCACTCTAAACACACAGAGACATTTCAAAAGTGATAAATGGGAAATACAATTCAAAAGTGATAAATGGGAAATACAATTCAAAAGTGATAAATGGGAAATTAGAATGAAATGGTCTTGCAAG